GTAAGGGGAGAAAATCTTCAACCTCCTTAATACTCAAAGCAAAGCAAAACACAACCATTTGGGATGATGTTTCCCTCACCACAGTACCTGTCAGAGTAGCAAGTGAACACCCTGTTGGGGGGAGAGGCTTTCTTGCTAATTACTTCTAGGAATGCACAATAATTGGAAGAGCCTTTTGATGAGCAAATTAAGCCTTAAATCCACCAATGCCTTTGGACCTGTCGATTTCATATTTGATATTTAGGGTGTTGTACACGTAGCTACAAAAACTGCAGTACTATGGCTAAAACAAAAAGAACAAAAAGCATTTACAAAAAAAATTTTTTTTTTTGAGACAGAGTCTCACTTTGTTGCCCAGGCTAGAGTGAGTGCCGTGGTGTCAGCCTAGCTCACAGCAACCTCAAACTCCTGGGCTTAAGCAATCTTTCTGCCTCAGCCTCCCAGGTAGCTGGGACTACAGGCATGTGCCACCATGCCCGGCTAATTTTTTCTATATTATTAGTTGGCCAATTAATTTCTTTCTATTTATAGTAGAGACTATACTCTCACTCTTGCTCAGGCTGGTTTCAAACTCCTGACCTGGAGCAATCCGCCCGCATCGGCCTCCCAGAGAGCTAGGATTACAGGGGTGAACCACTGCGCCTGGCCAGCATTTAAAATTTTTTCCTGTCTTTCTTCGCTGTACACCCAATAATCCTCCTGGGCCTGTTCTACTTACGTCCTGCACATGCTGTGCTGGAATGTTGGTTTGTATTTTAGTGTCTCAACAAGATGTGCAGTTGATGAGAAATACCCTGGGCTGGGTAAGTCTGAGGCTTCACCCAGCCCCCTCGCTGTCCCTGTGACATGGAAAGGGTCTTCCCCCTGAAGGCGTGGGGGACCTGGGCGGGTCAGAAGCTGGCAGGAGGAGCAGAGCGATGGCCTGGGGAGCCTGAAGGTGGGTTGCAGGTGCCCAGAGCCCCGATCCTGAGCCGGTGTCTGGGGAGAGAAGGCCCCTTAGGACAGGACGGGTGGACAGGCTGTCAGGGCTCCGGCCACCAGCGCCCCTGCTGTCACCATGGAGCTGGGCTGTCTAGGGCATTCCCAGGGCACAGGTTTCTTGGGACCTGTGGGAGACCCCATTGCCACAAAGAGAGGCGACCCAGAGAACACCCTGGTATAGATTAGCTGCTGGGTGGCCAGAGCTTTCCTTTGTCCGTTCGCTGAGTTCACCCCTTCTACTTCCTTCCTCTAGTTCCCTGTCCCACTCTCCTCTCCCCAGCAGGACAGCTTCGTCCTCAAGGTGGCCAGGGAGGCAGGTTTCCCCTGGCCTAGGCTTCCACCTGCTCCGCTCCCCACTCCCTGCCGCATAACCCCTGCAGTGGCCTTTTGGCACCAGCCAGGGGCACGTGGCACAGCCCAGCTTTCCAGCTTCTGAGAACTGTCTTCACTCCTTGGCTTGTGGCCACTGCCTGCATCTTCGAAACTCATCACTCCAGCCTCTACTTCTGCGGTCCCTCTTCCTCTCTCTGACCCTAAGCCTCCAGCCTCCTCTTACACGGCCCTTGTGACAACATGGGGCCCACCCACATCATTCAGGATGATCTCCCCACCTCAAGATACTTCATCACGTCTGCAAAGTGCCTTTTCCCACATAAAGTGACATTCATAGGTTCCGGGAATTACGACGGTGGATGGATGTCTTTGAGGGGGCCGTTATACAGGCTTCCTGCAGTGTAAAACGCTGTAATGAACACAGGTATCTACCACTAAGATTAAAGACATGCTAACATTTTGCTTTATTTTCTTCAGTATTTATTCATTTATTTATTTAGGGGCAGAGTCTCACTCCATTGCCCGGGCTAGAGTGCCGTGGCGTCTGTCGGACTCGCTCACAGCAACCTCCAACGCCTGGGTTCGGGGATCCTGCTGTCTCAGCTAGGACTATAGGCGAAAGCCACCTCACCTGCCTAATGTTTTGGTTTTTTAGTAGAGCTGTGGTCTTGCTATTGCTCAGACTGGTCTCCAATTGCTGGGCTCAAGTGATCCTCCTGCCTCAGCCTCCCAGAGCGGTAAGATTACTGGGGTGAACCACCTTGCCTGGCCAATAATTATCTTTGTGCTTGTTTTCTTGAACACGTGTTCCAAAGACCTCAGTTGGGGACACCCAGGAGCACACATGCACACTTTCAGCATTCCTAGGTAACGCTGAGTGGTCCCAAAGAACCTCCTGATGGCAATGTTTAATAGTACTCATTTCCCCAAATCTTTGGGGTTTTTTTTTAGATGGAGTCTCACTCTGTCACCTGGGCTGGAGAGTGCCACGGCGTCAGCCTAGCTCACAGCAACTTCAGACTCCTGGGCTCAAGTGATCCTCCCGCCTCGGCCTCCCAGAGTGCTAGGATTACAGGCGTGAGCCACCGCACCTGGCCATTTCCCCACATCTTTACTAGCATCTGGTATTTTCAGATTTACTACTTTTAAAAAATATATATTTTAAAACATATTTTCAGTCAATCTGTTCTGCTCCCAATCTTTTCTCGAACATTTATGCAGCTGGGACCTTTCCTCCATCTTGACCCTGAACGACAAGTCCACCCAGGGATTTCCGTGCTCCTCCATGGACCCCTCCCTGACTTCCCTCTCTGCGCCCACGCTCCGTTTCATTGTTGCCAGCTCTAGGGGAGCTTTATACCGGTCCGCAGCTCTCTGCTCTTCCCACAGAATGCCCTGGAATGTGCAGTGATTTCCCCAGGGGAGGTATAAAGTCTGCGTGACTATCCTGTAGCGTAAATGAATCAGGCAACTCTGAGCCTGATGAAGTGAGTAAATCCACTCTAGAACTATGCAGTCCTGGATTTTTCTTGCCTTCAAGGGTGTTCTGGAGTACACTGCCGATGGACTGAAAACTGTATCCTGGAACGTGCGGGATGGAGGAGTAAATCCAAAATTGGGGGCCGGGCGTGGTGGCCCACGCCTGTAATCCTAGCTCTTGGGAGGCCGAGGCGGGTGGATTGCTCAAGGTCAGGAGTTCAAAACCAGCCTGAGCAAGAGCGAGACCCGTCTCTATTATAAATAGAAAGAAATTAATTGGCCAACTAATATTATAGAACAAATTAGCCGGGCATGGTGGCCCATGCCTGTAGTCCCAGCTACTCGGGAGGCTGAGGCAGCAGGATTGCTTGAGCGCAGGAGTTTGAGGTTGCTGTGAGCTAGGCTGACGCCACGGCACTCACTCTAGCCTGGGCAACAAAGCGAGACTCTGTCTCAAAAAAATAAAAATAAAAAATAAAAACAAAACTGGGGACCCTTTTCCCCAAGGCTAACCTTGTTTCTTTACCAGCCTGTGACTTTTAGACACTTAATCCCCTTCCGTTTTAGGTTTTTATTTTTATTTTATTTTTAAATTTTGTAAACATTATTTATTTATTTATTTAGTAAAGATGGGGGTCTCCATATGTTGCCCAGGTTGGTCTTGAACTCCTGGCCTCAAGCAATCATCCAACTTAGGCCTCCCAAAGTGCTGGAATTACAGGTATGAGCCACAGCACCAGGCTGTTTTAGTTTTTTAACTCCTTTTAAAATCCAACTATAGTGATGGGCTAAATAGCTTGAGCTCCTGCAACACAGGGGGCCATCTCTGAGTGACTGGCCGTCGTGGTGACCCATTCCCATCCTGCTGCTCCCTAAACAAACTGCAGTGGCATCATCCTCACGCACACACATTAAGCCAGTGATTGCTCAGCTCTCTGGTGCCAACCTGATAGTTCTGCGAGCTTTGTGTGTATCTTTAGCTGTATGTACCTATTCCCATAGTCCCAGGATCCCTGGGAAAGATGGAGCCTGGAGGATTGCTTCCCATGGGGGAACCACCCCCCGCCTCAAGGGGAGCCTGGGTGCTGCTGGCACAGTCCCTGTAACCTCCTGTTGCTGAACAAGGACGAGTGAGATGCACAGGGGTCCTTACCCGTGCACGTTCGAGCGTTTGGAATGAATCCTTCGCTCAGTTCCGGGCGCGAGATGGGCACTGTATCCCTTCCCCGTAAACCAATGGTTTATGATTCTCATGCTCAGCGTTGCCCCCATTGGACGATCATTCCCAGGGTGGAGACAAGGAGATGAAGGGGTCACAGAGACCAGCATGGCCTGAAGGCCCTTTGGGACCCATCGGTCACCATCTAAAGAGTACACAAAACTCCATTTCAATGGTCCAGTAGAAGCAGTTCTCCAGAGAATAACCCAGCCCAGCAGAGCCCAGGTGAACGCCAGCCCCGACTGTCCTCCTCCCAACAAAGACTGCAGGAAGCTCAAAATGTCTGAGAGAGATGCCAGGAGGCAGAGTGACAAGCCAACCATAGCAGAAGTCACCCAGAAACCCAGAAAAACAAATGTGTCCTAATGGAGCTCGGAGGGAGTTGTGGGCAGCCACCGAGGCGAATCATCCCGGCGGGTGTGCGGGCTGGGCTGCCCACGGCTTCTAGCGAGGGCTGAGAGGCCCACGGTCACCCCTCTGCAGGCACGAGGCTCCTCTCTCCAGGTTTTGTAGATTCCTGAATTCTCTCTGGCTGGGGAATTTGATCAGTCATGTGAAGTCTTTTAAAAGGAGCTCGGTGAAGTTTTGTTTTGTTTTTCTTTCTGGCGGAACAGTTTAAATTCTGTCCTGGCCGGGCGTGGTGGCTCATGCCTGTAATCCTAGCACTCTGGGAGGCTGAGGCGGGAGGATTGCTCAAGGTCAGGAGTTCGAAACCAGCCTGAGCAAGAGCAAGACCCCATCTTTACTATAAATAGAAAGAAATTAATTGGCCAGCTAATATATAGAGAAAAAATTAGCCAGGCATGGTGGCGCATGCCTGTAGTCCTAGCTACTCGGGAGGCTGAGGCAGTAGGATTGCTTGAGCCCAGGAGTTTGAGGTTGCTGTGAGCGAGGCTGATGCCACGGCACTCACTCTAGCCTGGGCAACAAAGTAAGACTGTCTCAAAAAAAAAAAAAAATTCTGTCCTGCATTAAGGGCTCGCTTAACTCCTGATTACTTGATTAGAAATTAGAACATTGTTTCTTCAAGATTTACTCAAACCACAGTTTTTTTGGTTTTCTTTTTTTGAGACAGAGTCTCACTCTGGCCAATTAATTTCTTTCTATTTTTAGTAGAGACGGGGGTCTCACTCTTGCTCAGGCTGGTTTCGAACTCCTGACCTGGAGCAATCCTCCCACCTCGGCCTCCCAGAGTGCTAGGATTACAGGCATGAGCCACCGCGCCCGGCCAGGACAGAATTTAAACTGTTCTGCCAGAACAGTTCCACCAGATGTATGTCATTTTACCGTGGTGAGCAGGAGCTGGCTCTCATCCCTAGCCAAATTTGCACACTTCTTTTTCTTTTTCTTTGAGACAGGGTCTCACTCTTGCCCATGCTACAGCGCAGTGGCGCCATCACTGCTCACAGCAACCTCAAACTCCTGGGATCAAGCGGTCCTCCTGCCTCAGCCTCCCAAGTAACTGGGACAATAGCAAGCGTCACCACGGGCCTGGCCAATTTTTGAATTCTTTTGTAGAGACAGTGTTACCAAAAACTCGGCACTTATCCATGAGGCCGAAGAAGAAGAACGAAGACTAGCGCTTTGAGGAGGAAGGAAAGAGAGTTTACTTTCCTGGCAAAGGAGGAAAACGATAGACCTTCTCATCTCAAAATCCAAATTTTTCCCGAACATTCATAGAAATACAGAGCTTTTAAAGGATGGGTTCTCAGCTTCAGGAAATTACTGTTCAACTACAGTAGATAATTCTGACCACCCCATCTCCTGAAGACAATCTCGTGACTTCCACCCAGGATCTCCCTTTACCAGGTCTGGCTGGGCCATCTCCTGTTTTGCACAAATAAACAAAAGACTTTCCCTGCCCCTCCCAACCACTGGCCTGAGGCAGGGATGCAGGCTTTAGACACAGACAATATTTTTTCTATTCTTCTTTTTTCTTTTTTTTATTGGCCTCACTAAACCATGCAAGACAGAAAATATTGTTGACATTTTTTTTTTTCCAGGCCATTCCCTCTGTTACAAATTCCCCACTCTGTTACAACAGGGTCTTGCTCTATTGCTCAGGCTGGTCTCAAACACCTGGCCTCAAGCAGTCCTCCCGCCTTGGCATCCCAAAGTGCTGGGATTGCAGGTGCGAGCCACCAAGCCTGGCCCAAATTTCCTCCTAGCTCCACATTGACCAATGTCACGTTGGTAGCTTGGAATCAGCCATAAGTATTTACACCATAACAATTGGCAAAAACTACAAACATCAAAAGGAGTTACCTGTGCAGAGTGGAGGTGGAGAGCAAGGGTATCTGAGTTAATTTTTTTTTTTTCTTTCTGAAATTTTTATGTGCATAACAACCCGTTTTTCAAAGGAGACCTTCTTTCTTTGTTTTTTAGGAACAAAGGAAAGACTTCCTGCAGTGTTTATTAATCCCACACCCTCAGCTGGAAACTGCCTGGGGCCAAGGTGTCTGGTTGAGGAAGAGAGAGAGCCTAGAGAGCTGTCCTGGCTGGGGTCCCAGTGGGCCAGTGTCCGGGACTGGAGCTGGGGGCTGGGCACTGGGAGGGCCCGAGGGCATGCACAGCAGCGCGCAGCCAGTCCTTTGAGAACCTCATTCTGGCGTCAAGGCTAAGAGGAGAGCCAAAGTAACGCCAAGTACTTGGCCAAGGGTTCAGGCCAAAATTGGAGTTGCCATATCGCAAGGATGGAACAGAAAAATGAGCGTGAAGACAGGACACCAAAAATGGTGTGGATCTAGGAAGGGAGGATGGAGGGGAGAGTTGATATAAGGGGCATGTTTCACAGAATATTTTATATTTTAGATTACGGGATTGAAGGGTGGTTTTTTGGCCATTCCTAAGACCATTTCTCCTGCAGTTTAAGTTAAAAGGGGGAATCAGCTCTGCCCAGGAGGAAGGAGTGCAACTAGGGCACTGAGGAAACAAATAGAAACAGGTGCCCCCCGCTGGGGAGGAGGCTCCCACAACCCCCTGGGGAGAGGCTGCAACCTGCAGTAAACAAGTTCCGGGGAATGAAGTAAAACTCCAGTCGGATTCCAGGAACCTTGTCATATTGGAAAAAGGACTCTTAGAGGTCCTGGTCAGGGTCTAGGGGTGGGCTGGGGGTATCCGTTAAGGGGATTTTGGGAGTGGCTTAGAAATTCTGAGCAGACATAATGGATGCCCAGGTGCAGGCTGGGCCACAGCCAGGAAACTCATCCAAGATGCAGCAGGTTGCCCGACCTGGAGTGCTGCCCCGTGGAAGGCTGCCAGGCCCCACAGATGGGGGAACATGGGGTAGCATCGCCCCCACCTTGGAGGCTGGGTGCCAGGAGAAGGAAACTGTCTAGGAAACTAGACACAAGGTGGCCACACATTTGCCTGGGATGGCGGTGGCGGATGGGGAGGTGGCACAGGTGGGGAGCGGGAGGGTGCTGCTCCCATGACTACAGCCTAGTGACGGTCTGTGCCCTCCAGGGAGTGTCTGTGCCCTCAGACACTCCCAAATGCCACCTGACAGTGTGGGCAGCACCCTCTGGAGGTCTTGCCCAGTGAGGCAGCCACTAGTTAAGCAGGAATTGAATAGACCTGGGCGTGGTGCTGAGCAGCAGGGCTAATAGGCCACGCCTTGGTCCTTTTCCTTTTTAACTTGCGGCTAAAGTCCTTCAATGTTCAGATAAATTAGATGCATAAATCTCTAATCACTGGCACAGGATGATCCTTATCTGCTTCCATATTGCAGGGACTTGACTATGACAAACCCACAAACAACCTTAAAATACTGCTGAACCTATTGATTAATTACAGTCAGCCGCCAAAGCCTCAAATCAATGACAGGTAAACTAAGTCAGTTTCTGCTGACATTTGCTCTCGACATGTTGAATGCTGAGTTCATGCGAACATCACTAAATCATGATATACTACAGATTCAGCTACTTGAGAACATATTTTAAGCTAACACATTCCCAAAAGCCTGTCAGGAAGCCAGCGACTGCCCATAAGACAGCAGAGGAAGGTCTGCCCGGCCCCCATCATTCATTTCACAAACGCCAAGACTCCTGGCTGTATTTTATGCTCGGCTCCAAGGATGGGAAGAGAGGACAGATCCTGTGTAGAGGAAAGGATGGGCCTGTAACTGCCATAGCACCACCAGGCTGTCAGCCCCCAAGGACTGCCCTGTGCTGTATTTGTGACTGTATCTCTTGCACCTAACAGGAGGCCTAGCACTTAGTAGGTCCCCTATAAAAACTTAGTGAAAGATGAATAATACAACACAATGCCTCTGATAAGACAGCTCTAGGAGTTCAGGGAGGAAGCAGTTAATTCTGATATGGGATTAAAGAAGGCTTTGCAGAGGAGGTGACAGGTCTTAGCTGGTACCGTGTTTCCCCGAAAATAAGACAGGGTCTTATATTTGTTTTTCCTCAAGAAGATACCCTAGGGCTTATTTTCAGGGGATGTGTTATTTTCCCCTCAAAGCCTCAGCTTGCAGCACGCACAGGATGGCGGGGACCCGACAGGGGGAGCCGGCCTTGTTGGTGGGGCTGCTCACACCTTTCGGTCACCTCTGGGATAGTAGCTGTCAGGATGGGGCAGATGAGAAGGGCTGCTCTTCTTTACCTCTCCCAGACGAAATGCACGGGTTGTGCTGATACACTGCGTAGCCACGCCCTTCACTAGGTCTTATCTTCGAGGTAGGGCTTATATTGCGCAAATGCTTAGAAACCCTGCTAGGGGCCAGGCGAGGTGGCTCAGTGCCTAGGTGGGCGGATTGCTCCAGGTCAGAAGTTCGAAGCCAGCCTGAGCAAGAGTGAGACCCCATCTCTACTATAAATAGAAAGAAATTAATTGGCCAACTAATATAGAGAGAAAAAATCAGTGGAGCATGGTGGCGCATGCCTGTAGTCCCAGCTACTCTGGAGGCTGAGGCAGGAGGATTGCTTGAGCCCAGGAGTTTGAGGTTTGACCTGTGAGTACTAGGCTGATGCCACGGCAACTCCACTCTAAGCCTGGAAGGAAGGAGGGAGAGAGGGAGGGAGGGAAGAAGGAGAAGGAGAAGGAAGGAAGGAAGGAGGAAGGGAAGGAAGAAGAAGGAAGGAGAGGAAGAGAGGAAGGAAATCCTGCTAGGGCTTATTTTATGGGTAGGTCTTATTTTCGGGAAAACACATTACTTGAAATGTAGGAGTCAATGGGCAGAGAAGGGAGAAGGACAGTCTCGGAGAAGAGGAATGAGTGGGAGGGTGTGACGTGGCAGAGATCAGACAAGAAAGAGGCAGGATGAGGGCTCTTGAATTGCAGATGGGTCCAGGTATTATAGACTTGCTGCTCTGTTCACAGTTTCTACACAGGTACGGTCCACATGACAAATCCCTCTTACAATCAGGAGCCAGGTTCTCTCTTTAGAAACGTTAATTTCCTTTTGTCAAATAATAAAGCCATGTTGCATTCCTTTCTCACCTTGACTGCTGGGAAACTCCTGAAGTATTGGGTCTCCTAATTATTTTTTTTTATATCCCCTATTAGCCCCAAGCAGGACTTTTCATGCCATAGATCCTGTATTAGTTCTCTGTCGCTGCATAACAATATGACCACAAACATAGCAGGTTAAAACAACACACGTTTATTACCTCACAATTTCTCACAGGCGTCTGGGCACGGCTCAGCTAGGTTCTCTTCAAGGCTGCAATCAAGGTGTTGCCCAGGGTGGGGTCTCATCTGAGGCTTGACTGGGGAAAGATCCTCTTCCATGCTTGTTGGTTGTTGACAGAATGCAGTCCCGTGCAGGTTGCTGGGCTGAGGGCTTCAGTTTCTTGCTTGGTGTTGGCTGGTACTAGAGTATCTTTTTTTTTTTTTTTTTTTTTTGAGACAGAGTCTCACCTTTGTTGCCCAGGTTCGAGTGAGTGCCGTGGCGTCAGCATAGCTCCCAGCCACCTCAACTCCTGGGCTCAAGCGATCCTCCCTGCCTCAGCTCCCACGTAGGGGACTACAGGCATGCCCCACCATCGCCCTGCTAATTTTTTCTCTCTATATTAGTTGGCCAATTAATTTCTTTCTATTTATAGTAGAGACGGGGTCTCGCTCTCGCTCTTGCTGGTTTGGAACTCCTGACCTGGAGCAATCCGCCCGCCTCTGCCTTCCAGAGTGCTAGGATTACAGGCGTGAGCCACTGCGCCCGGCCCAAAAAAAAAAAAAAAAAAAGGGCAGAGGTATCCTAGTAAAACCATCCTTACAACTTTATATAACATATGTACACAAACATCCCATCACCTTTGTGGTATCTTACTAGTTAGAAGCGAGTCACAGGTCTCACCCACATCAAGAGGAGGGGGCCTCACAAGGGCATGACAAGGGCACGAAGACCAGGCAAAGCATCTTGAGGCCACCTTTTTCTTTTTTTAAGGCTGGTCAAGTGGAGCAGGGGGAGTGGAGAAGGAACAAAGGAATCTGTAACTGGTTGTGATCAATTAGCTGTAAACTCCACTGCACTCGGACCAACTTGAGGCCACCTTGGTGTCAGTCGGCCACAGGTCCTCATCAGATACGAGCTGCTAGTTAACTGAACTACTCCTGGCAATTAAAGTTATTACTGTTCCATAGATATACCTACTGTCTCCCCACGAAGACAGTGAGGTGAGTTCTCTTCCTGCTAAGATCGTCTATGCCCTTCCTGCAGCATCTGCTACAGGGCTGGGCACAGACGAGCGAGCCAATAAATATGAGATGAAGACATGTTATGTGATGCACATTACTGCTGGAAGGACCCGGAGCTCTCTACCACCAAGGTGATTATCTGAGTGTCAAAAATTTCCCAGTTGACAGTTGTAATTAAAAAAAAAAGAAGCCCATAAAACAATGGTAACAGCCACAAAGAGGGAACTGGGGCAGACATCCCGTTATGAATGTGTGTTATGCTAGAAAAATGTCTCTTAAACCCCAGCACCTATTGTTTTCCTCCTCCTTGACAGATGAGCAATGCTCATAAACACTGCTTCCCAATTCTGCTTGTGCAAAATTTCACAACCACAGTTTAAGAGCACGGGCTCTGGGGCCAGGCTGCCTGGTTGGCACCAGGCAGAGCCTCTTCCTGTGTGACCTTGGACAGGTTGCTTAACTTTTTGTGCCTATTTCCACATCTATAAAATGAAGATGATAATGGTGCCTCCCAAGGTGGTTATGTGGGTTAAATGAATTAATAAATGTAAACAGCCTGGCAGGTTAGTAAATACTAAATAAGCTTTTTTTTTTTTTTTGAGTAAGAGTCTCACTCTCTTGCCTGGGCTAGAGTGCCTTGGTGTCAGCCTAGCTCACAGCAACCTCAAACACCTGGGCTTAAGTGATCCTCCTGCCTCAGCCTCCCGAGTAGCTGGGACTACAGGCATGCACTACCATGCCCAGCTAATGTTTTCTATATATTTTAGTTGGCCAATTAATTTCTTTGTATTTATAGTAGAGATAGGGTCTCACTCTTCCTCAGGCTGGTTTTGAACTCCTGACCTCGAGCAATCTGCCTGCCTTGGCCTCCCAGAGTGCTAGGATTACTGGCATGAGCCACCACGCCGGGCCCTAAATAAGCTTTTTTTTTTTTTTTTTTTTTTTTGAGACAGAGTCTTACTTTGTTGTCCAGGCTAGAGTGAGTGCCGTGGCGTCAGCCTAGCTCACAGCAACCTCAAACTCCTGGGCTCGAGTGATCCTTCTGCCTCAGCCTCCCGAGTAGCTGGGACTACAGGCATGTGCCACTATGCCCGGCTAATTTTTTATATATATATATCAGTTGACCAATTAATTTCTTTCTGTTTATAGTAGAGATAGGGTCTCACTCTTGCTCAGGCTGGTTTTGAACTCCTGACCTTGAGCAATCCACCCGCCTCGGCCTCCCAAGAGCTAGGATTACAGGCGTGAGCCACAGCGCCCGGCCTAAATAAGCTTTTGATAGCAGTTATTACTGGAAATTTCATTCTACCTTTAGAACCCACCAAGATCAAAGCATCTTCTGTTTCTGCTCTCCTGAACCCCGTGGCTGTTAAAAGGAGGAGAAAACACTCTGACCCCAAGGGAAGTCCTGGAAGATGTATGTAGCAGTGGGGAGGTGATGGGAGGAATAATGGTTCAGGCCAGGGCTTAAAGTCCCCAACCTGAGCAAGAACATGGAGAGTGAAGGGTAATCAGAGGGTCGGACAAAGGAACGGCACACAGGATGTTAGTGGTACAGTCATCTCTTCTCTGAGTGACAGAACCTGTGATGTTTGCCTCCTCGTGGGAATCACGCCTGTGACCCATCACACCAAGCGTCTGCCAACAGGTTCTCTTTCTACCCTGCCATCCCCGAGGCCAAGCCTTGCCAGGAAGGACAGGTAGGAACCCACCGGCTTACCACAGGAGCCACTGGTATTGACTAGATCTTAACCAGTGATTCACACGATGTTATCATTTGGGAACTGGATGGCATCCTGTCCACCCCAGTGCTTTTAGGTGGGGCTAAGGAGCCCCTGCTCATGGGAGGGGTGCAGTCAATGTTCGGTGGCGGGACTGGGTGAGGCACTGCACCCACGAGGGCCTCAGGCGCCACTCCACGGAGGGCAGCAGGTGTCTCAGTTAAATTTCCCTTATGGGAGGGGCTCTGCCTCTGCTTCTGGAACCTCCCACCAACTCCACAGGGCAAAGGGCATCTTGAGTCATCCTGTGAGCAGCTGTGCACCTAGGTGTCCCGGAACAAGGCTTTCTTTTTCTTTTATTATCTTTTTATTTTTTTGAGACAGAGTCTCATTTTGTTGCCCAGGCTAGAGTGCCGTGGTGTCAGCCTAGCTCACAGCAACCTCAAACTCCTGGGCTCAAGCAATCCTACTGCCTCAGCCTCCGGAGTAGCTGGGACTACAGGCATGTGCCACCATATTTGGCTAATTTTTTATATATATATTTTAGTTGGCCAATTAATTTCTTTCTATTTTTAGTAGAGACAGGTCTGGCTTTTGCTCAGGCTGGTTTCGAACCGCGGACCTTGAGTGATCTTCCCGCCTCGGCCTCCCAGAGTGCTAGGATTACAGGCAAGGGCTACTGCACCGGACCAGGAGCAAGGCTTTCTCATCCTGGCATGGCTGGGGGTGGTGTGATGCTGTCCAGTCTCGGAGAGCAAATAAGAGGGCTGAGAGGGGAGGGCGCTCAGACACAGGACACCTGAGAAGGCAGGCAAAGCTGACAAAGGCCACCTCGCAAAGGACCCTTCCAAAGCAGCCTGTGGGCTCCCCATTGCTGCTTAGGCCAGGGAACTGGCACTCTAAGGGCCGACTGGGCGCGACCTCTGACCCCGCACAGCAAGACAGCTCTGGGCCTCTGGGGTGTCCCTCCCCCTCTGTCCTCCTCCTACCCGCACGTCCAGGTCTTCTGCCATCTACAGGCAGGCATGGCCGCCTCCTGCCGGCTGCGGGAAGGGGCCCTGTGTGGGGTTCCAAACCCACCTGGAGGCAGACATCCTTTAATCTGGGACCCCTTCCTCGGCCCACACTCTCCCCTCACCCTCGCACCCCGGCCTGTTGGCCCCTGCGAGGCTGGCGTGTCCTGCAGAGCTTAGCAAGCCTCACTCGGAAGCGAACACGGCGTTTCTGACACTTTTCCCGCCAACATGGCCGGTGACTAGGTGGGAGGCTCCCGGGCGCGCAGAGACACCAGAACGGAATTAAACTGAGAGCCGACAGGACCAGGCCGCGGACGCGCAGTCCCTACAGGGCAAATGGGGACCCAAGTTGGGGACGCGGGGCTCCCGGACTGCCTTCACTCTATGTAATGTTTCCCCACCCTCTAAACCCGGCCTTGCCCATTTCTCCGGGGTCCACTTTCGGCCTATCTCCTCTTCCTGACAGCGGGGGGCACGGAGCCGTCCCCCGAGTTCTGTCACTTTCTGCCCGCGCGTGTGCCCTTTTTCCCGCGGGGGCGGGAGCCGTTTCTGCGCGGGAGCCGCGGCGCGCCGTCCTCCCGGGCGCGCGGGGTTCCGTCTGCGACCGGCCAGGCCTCCTGCCGCCGCTGCTCCGCCTGCCCCTTGGGGGCACGCGTGAGGCCCTTCGCAACCCGAGGCAGAGGCGACCGCCGTACTCCCGGACGCACAGCCCCAGGGAGGGACTCCGGGCGCTGGCAGCGCCTTCGCGAAGCGCCGAGGCGCGCGGGCCGGGGTGACGGCCAACCTTGCGCACCAGCGTGGGGCTCGGAGGTTGCAGCCCTGGAGGCGCGGATGGGGGAACCGAGCGGCACGTCTGGGGAGGGTTCGGCTTCCAGAAAACGGACTCGGGGGCCTGCCGGAGGCGCCAGGGCGAGGGAGGCCGGGGGCGGGGAGGCGGCTCCTCCATGTTCCAGTTGAGCCCTGGAAAAACCCCGGCGCTCAGGGCAGAGGCGGGCCGGCTCACGGGCGGGCCAGGGACAGCGGGAACAAAGGCGGCCCGCGGCCGGATGCAGTCATGGAAAAACCCATCGGGGCGCCGGGGCGGGCAGGGAAGGGGCGGCGCGCGCCCGGCAGCCGTACCACCCCCGTCGGCCGGACTGGGTGGGGCTGCTCTCGGCCCCCGCCCCGCCGCGCGCCTCGCGGAGCAGGAAAATGCTGGGCAGGGAGCGTTGCTGGCCCCCGGGACTGGGACCCAGAAGCCCCAACGTCCCGGATGTCGCGTACCGCGTGCTCCCGGCCGCAACCGGCTGCGGGCTGGGGCTGGGACGCGCGGAGCACACGCAGCGCTGCGCACGGCCACCTGGCTGGCGGATGCAGCTGCGGCAGCTGGTGACGGCGGGCACTCGGGGGGCGCGCACAGACCCCGGCACTGCCGCGGACGCGTGCGCACACGTCCCTACACGCACACGATCGCTTGCACGCACGTGCGCCTGGACACGCGGGCTGCCGGCAGCTCCCAGGGCGGAGGGAAGGAAACAGTCGGACGCTGGGGGGCCGAAGTAGATGCTCGTTAGGGCGGGCCCCCGGGGCTAGATATGCAACCTCAGAAGCTGGGGGTGGGGAGCCTTTGAAGAAGCCACGGTTAGGCTCGCCCCCGTGTTACAGGTGCGGGGACCGGGTCTGACGTGCCCAGGTCCCGCCCCAGGGCTAGAGTTTCCCTCCCGTGCAGGATGCTGCCCGCCCTAACCTGATCTTGTAAACCTGGCTGGAGTCAGGGAGGCGGCACGATGGTTGTTTTTTTTTTTTCTATAGAAAAGGAAAGTATTGGCGCAGGTTGGACCCAGTGACTCCTGAGGCCTTTTCCAGTTCTAACTTTTTAAGAAGAAGGAACTGGGCCCAGAGGCCATAAAAGGAGTTGGTTGGAGCTGAGAAAAAAAACTTAGGTGCCTGTTTTGGCCTCAGCCACATGCTCTTCCTGGTTCAAACGTCCCATTGTTTGTGCTGCTGCCTGCCATGTCGCCGGTGAAAGCCAGGCCCCGCGGGGACCCTGGGGTTGGGGAAGGGATATAGAGGAGGTCCCAGGCGCTGCCCTGATGGGGGGCTGTCGGGATGGGTGGCCGGTGGGGGTCCCTGGGGGATAGAGGGCAATTAAGCAGGAGCCCAGGCTTCAGAAAAGTTCGAGCTGAAAAAGGGACCGCCTGCTGCTGGAATTGTCGCTGGAACACAGAAGGGGACACGGTTGTGGTAGTGGTGCTGGCCGCGGCTCAGAATATAGGGTCCACAGGGGCACGGGCACCAGCGACGCAGCAGGGTCAGATGCGCTGGTAACTACCTGTGGTCCCCTTGGGAACTGGCCTTGGAATCAAACGGCCCGGCAGGCCCCTCGCTAGCCTGCGCTTACCCAACGCCTTTGGGCCTCACATTTCTCATCTGTAAAATGGGGACAAGAGCTCCTCCACAAGGCTGTTTTGGGAATTGAAAGTGGGTATAAGTCCGCCTTCCACCCTGCCTTCCCTCCCAGTGGGAGGGGGACGAGCTCCCACCTCTATTCGGCATCTTCCCTCCCTTTGCCGCTTCTCAAAGTCCCTGGCGCCTCCCCTACTCCCCGCCCGCGGACTCCGAAGTCCTGGTTTGTGGCCAGCAGGTGGGGGAGGAAGGCTGGGGGAGCAGCGCCCCCTGGCGGCCGGTGCAGGAGGGCACGGTCCGTCCCTGGAGACAGCTAACCTGGTTCGTGCCTGGTGGTGGCTGGCACGTTGCAGCCTCCCAGGGGCCGACCGTGGGGCTCCACTCATGCAGGATTCCCTTCTGGCTCAGTTTCCCCGTTGAGCACGCAGAGAAAATGCTGCTTCTCCACAGCAGCGTCTCCTCTGCCTTCTCATGGCCCAGCTTCTTTGGCCTCAAACGGGCTTCTCTCACTTCTGCTTGGGAGGAGTCAACGAACTTGGTGTTTATACTGTGCTTTGCATTCTTCCGAGCCCTGTGACACGCATTCCTTGTCGCGAGGTGTGCTGCTGCTGGGCGGTGGCCGCGCTAGATGGAAAGAGGACCGTGGTTCAGGGCTCGGCACCAGCCCTGTGGGCTGGTTTGGATTCTGCTCCTTCCTTCCAGCTGCGTTGCCAGGGCGATGTTCAAAACACTGGAGAACCAGTAGGACAAGCATCCGCCAATCAGAACAGACCCTGCCACAGACGCCAGGTGCAGCCAAACCCATGTGTATCTGCTGAAGGTTCTGGAATAATCCCAGCCCTGCTGTGCCTGGGTTTCCCCAAAGGCGCTGTGGGGACCGTGTTCGTAATAGCAACACCTCCTAGGGCTTGTGAAGCCTGCTTAAGTCCGGGCTTGTACGGGACTGCCAAGCCAGCGTCTGCACATGGATAGCGCCCAACCAGTGTTATTCCCGGTCCCGCCTCCTGTCCGCGAGAGCTGAGTCACCTCTCGGACTCATTGACTAAGGGTGATTGTCACTTTTAGGGGAGACTCCCCAGCTGAGCCCACTGTGCACACCCCAAGTTCACCTCCTGCCTCTCGCCTCCCTCTGGGCTCCTTTCCTCTCCATTTTCTCTCAGTGGCCTCATCTGTGCTGAGGCGCCCACAAACCCCTGTGTGGCTGAATGTCGCCTCTCTGATGATTCTGGTCCTGACCCTGGTGCCCAGACCTCTCCTCCGAGCTGTCCCCTGAACTCCCCCCTCCACACCCCAGCCAGGCACATCCCACAGCCCATCTCCCCAGAGCCTGCCTGTCCCTACCTTAGCAATGCCAGAGCCTGATCCCTGCCTCCCCGCCCCCAGGGCAGCTGCTTCCCTCCTCTCTGAGCTCTAGAGGGCACCTCGCACCATCTCTCGCCCCCGTTGCAGTAACCTCCCATCGGTCCACAGCCTCTAACCACCCACGCTGGATTTCTTCTAAAACGCCGGCTGCAATACTCCCCCATCTCAGAAGCCTCTTTTTTTTTTTTTTTTTTTTGGAGACAGTCTCACTTTGTTGCCCAGGCTAGAGTGAGTGCCACGGCGTCAGCCTAGCTCACAGCAACCTCAAACTCCTGGGCTCAAGCGATCCTCCTGCCTCAGCCTCCCGAGGAGCTGGGACTACAGGCATGCACCACCATGCCCAGCTAAGTTTTTCTATATATATTAGTTGGTCAATTAATTTCATCCTACTTTAATAGAGACGGGGTCTCGCTCTTGCTCAGGCTGGTTTCGAACTCCTGACCTCAAGCAATCCTCCTGCCTCAGCCTCCCAAAGTGCTAGGATTACAGGCGTGAGCCACCGTGCTTGGCCTCTCAGAAGCCTCTAATGCCCTCTCCTGGCCTACCCAGACTAGCTCCCCCTTTTGTGATCATGGTAGTTAACGTGTATTGCCTGCTCCCGACATTTATACTGCACCCGGCACTCTACCAAGTAAGCGCTCTAATCATGCTGTCTCATTTAACCTTCCCACAGCTCTGGCTGGTACAGGGATTATTATCCCTACAGCGTAGAGGAGCCTCCCTTTCAACCGGGAGGCTCAGAGAGTTAAGAAATTTGCCCAAGGGGCCGGGCATGGTGGCTCACACCTGTAATCCTAGCACTCTGGGAGGCTGAGGTGGGAGGATCACTCAAGATCAGAAGTTCAAAACCAGCCTGAGCAAGGGTGAGACCACGTCTCTACTATAAATAGAAAGAAATTAATTGGCCAACTATAAATATATAGAAAAAATTAGCCAGGCATGGTGGCGCATGCCTGTAGTCCCAGCTACCTGGGAGGCTGAGGCAGGAGGATCGCTTGAGCCCAGGAGTTTGAGGTTGCTGTGAGCTAGGCTGACGCCACGGCACTCTAGCTCGGGCAACAGAGTGAGACTCTCTCAAAAAAACAAGAAAGAAAGAAACTTGCCCAAGGTCACTCAGCCACTGGGAGGCAAAGTCAGAGCTCAGACTCAAGCAGCTGCACTCCAGAGTCTTGCTGTTTAGCGATCAAGGGGACACCCCCGAGACAGCCTTCTGTCTTCCTGGGAATCTCTTCCTCCTCATTTTGCTGGACCCTGGGGCTGGCTGCTTCAGACCACTGGCCTCCCCTCTCACATGTGCCTCCTCCTTTCAGCCTGGTGTTAGCCTGGAATGTACCTTGTCTTACCCCAAGTCTAAATCCACCTCCCTCCCAGCTGGGCTCAAGACTGCCTCTCTTTACTGCCCCCCATACACACACTTCCTGCTGCCCGTGACTGATTTCTCTGAGGCCCTTAAGTTATTCTACCTTCTAGAAGTGCTTCTTTTTTTTTTTTTTAATTTTTTTTTTTTTCATCTACATTCTTTTTTTTTTTTTTTTTTTTTGAGACAGAGTCTCGCTTGTTGCCCAGGCTAGAGTGAGTGCCGTGGCATCAGCCTAGCTCACAGCAACCTCAAACTCCTGGGCTCAAGCAATCCTTCTGCCTCAGCCTCCCGAGTAGCTGGGACTACAGGCATGTGCCACCATGCCCGGCTAATTTTATATATATATAAATTGGCCAATTAATTTGTTTTATTTATATGTAGAGACGGGGTCTCGCTCTTGCTCAGGCTGGTTTCGAACTCCTGACCTCGAGCAATCCGCCCCGCCTCGCTCCCCAAGGCTAGGATTACAGGCTTGAGCACCGCGCCGCCTTTTTTTTTTTTTTTTGAGACAGGGCCTCACTCTCTCACCCATGCTAGAGTATAGTGGCATGATCATAGCTCACTGCAACCTCAAAGTCCTGGCTCAAGTGATCCTCCTGCCTCAGCCTCCCAGGTATCTAGGACTACAGCACATGCCACCACCACACCTGGCTAATTTAAAAAAAATTTTGTAGGCCGGGCTCACGCCTGTAATCCTAGCACTCTGGGAGGCCAAGGCAGGCAGATTGCTCAAGGTCAGGAGTTCCAAACCAGCCTGAGCAAGAGTGAGACCTCGTGTCTACTATAAATAGAAAGAAATTAATTGGCCAACTAATATATATAGAAAAAATTAGCCAGGCATGGTGGCACATGCCTGTAGTCCCAGCTACTCCAGAGGCTGAGGCAGGAGGAGCGCTTGAGCTCAGGAGTTTGAGGTTGCTATGAGCTAGGCGACGCCATGGCACTTACTCTAGCCTGGGCAACAAAGTGAGACTCTGTCTCAAAAAAAAACCATATATATAAAAAATCAGCCGGGCATGGTGGTGCATGCCTGTAGTCCCAGCTACTCAGGGGGCCGAGGCAGGAGGATTGCTAGAACCCAGGAGTTTGAGGTTGCTGTGAGCTAGGCTGACGCCAGGGCATTCACTCTAGCCCGGGCAACAAAGTGAGACTGTCTCAAAATAAAAAAAAATAAAAAAATTTGTAGAGACAGGGTCTTGCTATGATGTCCAGGCTGGTCTCAAACTCCTAGGCTCAGGCAGTCCTCCCACCTCTGCCTCTCAAAGTGCTGGATTACAGGTGTGAGCCACTGTGCCTGGCCATAGAAGTGCTGCTTAAACTTTACCATGCATCGGGAATTTCTAGGGGATCTTGTTAAATTGCAGATTCTCATTCAGTAGGCCTGGGTGGGGCCTCAGATTCTGCATTTCCTACAAGCTCCCCAGTGGTGTTGATGCTGGTCTGAGGACCACACTTTGAGAAGCAGAAACAGAAGTTTCAACTCACAGATTTGCCAATGTTCACTGAGCACCCATTCAGTGCAAGGCAGTGTGGGGATTCAAGTCCAAGTGCTGGACTGCAGCCCCTAAACAACAGGCAGGTTATTGTACAAATGTACAAATTGTACAAATGCAGATTAAAACTAACAGCCCATCCACAGAACACTTCCAGAAATGCTCATGTGCCAGACAGTAGGTGGTACGTGTGATGAATTCATTTTCTGTCTGACAGCCAGTGATGCTTTAACCAGGTAAAGATCCCATGGCTGTCTTGCTTAAAACTATCTAATGACTCATTCAAGTAAAAGGTGGATTCTTCTAGATTCTTCTTCAAGGCTCTGCATCATCTGGGCCTGCTCTGACCTCACTGCCCCTAACTCAGCTTCATCCAGATTTAACCTGTTGTTCTCTTGAACTCAGTGCCCCAGCTTCCTTCCCACCTGAGCGCCTTTGAACTTGCCTGGTTAATCTTTGTCCTTCAAGTTCCCCAGTGCAGGTGTGGGAAAGCTTTTCATGCTGGAAGGCCGCATTAATTTAGCCATAATCAAATAAGGCCGCATTCAAGAAACTTCAATTAGATATACTTAAAAATGTACATTATTTTGTAAAATCTAACTACCATGTATTTAATTTAAAAAAATGAAAACTGTTAATTTTAAAGTTAACTAACCTTTTTTTTTTTTTGAGACAGAGTCTCGCTTTGTTGCCCAGGCTAGAGTGAGTGCCATGGCGTCAGCCTAGCTCACAGCAACCTCAAACTCCTGGGCTCAAGCAATCCTCCTGCCTCAGCCTCCCGAGTAGCTGGGACTACAGGCATGCGCCACCATGCCCGGCTAATTTTTTCTATATATATTAGTTGGCCAATTAATTTCTTTCTATTTTTAGTAGAGACGGGGTCTCACCCTTGCTCAGGCTGGTTTCGAACTCCTGACTTGGAGCAATCCGCCTGCCTCGCCTCCCAGAGTGCTAGGATTACAGGTGTGAGCCACTGCGCCCGGCTTTTAAATAACCTTTTAATGACTTCGTTGTGTCTGCTTTTTGTTGGCAAGCATTTGAATATCTAGTTGCAGCATGGAGGTCCCCAGTTTTAGTTGATCCTCTAGATCAGGCGTCCTCAAACTATGGCCCCTGGGCCACATGCGGGTGTTTTTGCCCGTGTTTTTTTTACTTCAAAATAAGATATATGCAGTGTGCATAGGAATTTGTTCATAGTTTTTTTTTTTAAACTATAGTCCGGCCCTCCAACGGTCTGAGGGACAGTGAACTGGCCCCCTGTTTAAAAAGTTTGAGGACCCCTGCTCTAGATGGAGGTCAGTCATTTGTGACCTTAAGGGTGTCTTGATTTGGGTTAGGTAGAAGAATATAGATTCACAGAAACAAGTGGCTGAAAAGCAAGAAAGTGTTTACAGCATTTTTCTATGTTTCAACTGAATCTTTGTTAGCCTCAAACAATGACTTTAAAATGTTATCTACTGAAAGCTCAATCAATTCCATCTGTAGTTCTTTGGGTGCCTTGGTGATATCAACTAGGTGAGGCTGAAATGTTAATCTGAGTGTGATTTTGTGATTCTCAAAGTCAGTGACCCTTTCGTTGTATTCTCCAATTAGTAGGTCTGTAACAGCCACGTATTTGTCAAATAATGTGCATGTATCATCCTGCTCATCAATGACCTTTGCCAACTGGGGAAAATGTTCGCTTGACGTTTCCTTTTGAAGAAGTGTTTTGAAAAAGGGTAGACAGTTTTACCTTGCAAAGAAATGTTCATCATTTTGACTTGACATGATATCACACAAAAATGTTGCATTTCTATAGAAAGCTTCTCTCTCAATAATTCAGGCCGGGCACAGTGGCTCATGCCTGAATCCTAACACTCCAGGAGGCCGAGGTGGGAGGATTGCTTGAGCTCAGGAGTTCAAGACCAGCCTGAGCAAGAGCGAGACCCCGTCTCTACAGAAAGTGGAAAAATAGCCAGGCGTGGAGGTGCACGCTTATAGTCCCAGGCACTTGGGAAGCTGATGCCTTGAAGGGGAGTTTGAGGTGGCAGTGAGCTATGATGACACCACAGCACTCTAGCCCAGGCAATGAGAGCAAGACTCTGTCTCACAAAAAAATAATAATAATTCACATTGCTGATTCTGTTCTCATAAAATTTAACTACCTGTTCTTGCAGAGATAAAATTTTGGCTGACACCTGTCCCTGCGATAGCCAACACATTTTACAACGATATGGCAAATCCAGACTGAATACCTCATCATTCAACTTTAGCAAATTACCAAACTGACAATGCCATGTTGCATTTGCACAAAGTTAACAATACTTATAACTTGTTGCAAAGTGTCACTTAAAATAGTAGCTTTAGCACAGAGATTTTGCTGATGCAAGACAAATGAAATGAGAGCATCTGGATCTGTTAATACTTTTTTTCTTATCTGTGCAATAAACCCTTCATGTTTTCCTATCATGGAAGGTGCATCATCTATACATACACTCACTGAAGGTACCAAATTCAGTCCAACTTCATGACATTATCTGGAAAGTTGCTGAAGATATCTATTCACCATGTTCAGTTCCCAAGAGTGCCCAAAGTGAGTAACCCTTTGTAGCAAAGAAAATCTTCTGTTATGAGCCAAATGAAGTATAAAACCTACGCTGAGTCTATAGTATCAGTTGATTCATCCAAAGCAATTGAATAATACATATTTTCCTTTTGACGTACTACATGAATTTGTTCTGTTAAGTTGAAGGCTAATTCATGCTGCTGATCAGTTATGGTTCTCCTTGAAAGAGGCAGTTATTTGTACTTTGAAATGTTATCATGCTCTAAGCATCCTACAACTTTGACAATGTGTTCTTTCACAATTTCTACATTACTTACTGGCTTTCCTTTTCCCCCAAATGTATAAGCTACTTTATAAGTTGCTTCAGTGGCATTATTTCCAGGTCTTATTGCTGCTTGAAAGAATTCTTTCTTTTTCTTTCTTTTGCTCTTCTTTTGCTTTTCATGTTTTAATTTCTGCAATACAACCTTTGCGTCTCACCCTCTAATTTAAAATATTTGTGGTCCTTATGAGTGTTATAATGCTGATGAGCACTGATTTCTTTAATGCTGACATTGCAGTATCACAAAGCAAGCAAATCATCTTATCTTTAGCAGAAACAAGAATACTGCAATTCCCAATCCTCATTAAAAAATCATTAAAAAAACAACCCATGATGGGCTGTTAAGCAGACATAATTAAAAATTACTGTTGAGCTGTGCAGCTATTCACAAATTCCACTTCAAACAGAAACACTATTGTCAAAAGCCAATAACAAACTGCCTTACTCAACCCCTTAAACTCTCGCCAACCAGCTTCATGCACCAGTGGCACCAGTCAGGCAAGGGAAGGTAAAACTAAATCATGAGTGTAGTAGCCATCAACTTAGCCCTTTGGAAGGCAGCTATGCTAACCACTATACCACCAACGCCATGGTTAACTTAGCCCTTTGGGCTTACTAATGTTCTAATTGTGCCAGTCAAGCTGGGAGAATTATTTCATTTAGATTTATATTATTCTTTGGTATTTTAAGTATATTCATTAAAAAATGAAATAAAAATATAAAAGATAAACAGAAATGCATTAATAAAAATGAAACGACTTATTCTGTACATGTAGTCCCAGATAGTCCATAGGCTGAGGCAGGAGGATCACTTGAACCCAGGAGTTGGTGGCTAGAGTGATCTATGATGATGCCACTGCACAACAGCCTGGGTGTCACACAGAGCCAGACCTCATCACTAAAATAAATAATTAATTAAACCATCAGAGGCTGAGGGGGGGGAAATGGGCATTTATTGAAACCTTAAAATCTGTACCCCCATAATATGCCGAAATAAAAAAAGAAACCATCAGAGGCTGATATATTTGAGTGGGCATTCACAGAGGTCCCAGTTCAAAGGGCAGCTGTTCCAGGTCGGGGAAGGAGGAGAGGGAGAGGGAAGAAGGGAACAGAGGGAGTAAGGACTAAGGATGGTGGCCAGATGCCATGTGCAGATCTGAAGACGTCCCTAGGTGAGTCCTGCAGGGTGGTGGGGCAGGAGAGACCTGCCCTGGCTGGGGAAACCAGATTAATCCCAAAGCAACACAGTGTCTGAAACATCCTGAGAAGGGGATAGAACCCATGGACTTGGGGACACACCAGCCCCAAATATCGCACCTGGACATGTGAGCAAACCCCAGAAGCAGAAAGGCCTCTCTCACCTTCCCCTCCCCCTTCTCCCTGAGGCAGGTGACAAGACCCTCATTCTCGCTGCCCGGCACCCTGGAGGACAGGAGCATCCTTATCTCTGAGCAGACGGGGACACAGACAAGACTCTGAACAAACAGGTCTTGCTGAGCATCCCTCGGTCTATCACCGTTAGATCACACTGATTTAGCCAGCCACGCCCGTCCCGGCTGTCACCCTCACCATCGAACCCAGCACGCAAAATACACGGCACCTGTTCCTTTGGGTCTTCACTTACAAAGGCTCCCGTGTCACCCAAACTTATATTAATACACCTGTGTGCTTGTCTCTTGTTTGTCTGTCGTTCTCCCAGGGGCCTCAGCCACGAGCCCAGCGATGGGCGAGGAAATGTTTCCCTCCCTGCACAGTCCACACAGCAGGACGTCCCGGAGCCACCGAGGCACAGCCCCCCAGGAGACAGGCCACCTGAGCCGTACACGGGAGTCCTGCCTGATCCCAGGGGGGGTCACAGTGTGGAAACCAGGCCGGGTCGAGTCCTGGGTGTCCCCATCCCTAAGACGTCAGGGGGCAGCCCAGGAGCCTGTCCCTGCCGTTGGCCCCACACTGTCAGGGCCCCGTGGCTGTGGGGATCGTCGTTTTCCATTCCCAAGTCAGGATTCTGAGAATCGCTGCGGTGTTGGGCAGCTCGCCTTTCTCTGCACTCAGAGGCCGAGGAAGATCCCAAGCGCAGTGTGTCGGTGAATTGTAGAAATTGCTGGTGTGCGCCTGGAGGCCCAGCTACTCTGGAGGCTGAGGCAGGAAGATGGCTGAACCCAGGAGTTCAAGTCCAGCCTGAGCAGCAAGGGGAGTCCCCTTCTCTAAGAAAAAAAAAATCATTGTCCTCCAAGTGTTCTAGTTGGGTGTTCAGTGTTTGCACAGTTGAATTTGAAAACAAAGGTCAGAGGCAAGATTTGTCAGTCACTGTGGCCGTTTCACAAGAACAATCTTTGGCTAATGCTCAGAAGTTACAGAAATAGACTGGTCACTGGCTGATTAAAATTGAAAAGCCAAAGATTTTCCAAGAGGAAAAAAAGGAGGCGAGGACACCTGACTGGCCACTAGAAGAGAGCGTGTCTTGCTGAGGCGTCACTGGAGGTTGGGGCCTGCCTGGACACGGTCCCAGTCTGGGTAAGCACCGGGTGGGGGTGAGTGGGCCCTTCAGGTGCCAGCCGCTTCTGCGTGGGGCTTTTCTCCATGGCCACAGTCGCACTGGGCAGCGGCTTCCTGCGGTCCTGCCCTGCCCATACAGCACCAGCGTGTCACCCACGTGCAGCCCTGCGTGATGCTGCCCTGTTGCCAGGCAACCCAGTGTGTTGGGTGTGTCCCCGTAGTGCAGGGCTGGGACCCTCCCCACTGCGTCAGTGACAGTCCCCGCCCTCTGTCAGAAGCTGCACTAAGCTTGGGAGGTGCACGTGGGGTCCTCCCCTGCTGCCCTGGGAGTCGTGGCTGAAACCTGAAGTTTCCATTGGCCGTGTGTGCGTATGTGTGAGTGTGTGTGCATGTGTGTGTAAGTGTATGAGTTTGAATGTGAGAGTGTGTGTGTGAGAGTGTGTGTGAGAGTGTGTGTGTGAGTGTATGAGTTTGAGTGTGAGTGTGTGGGAGTGGGAGAGTGTGTGTGAGAGTGAGTGTGCCCGAGTGTGTGTGTGAGTGTGTCTGAGTGTCTAGCTGTTTAAGGCTCTAGTGGGACCTGCTCCTGACTGAGTTTAGAGAGGGGAACTTGCCCTTGCAGGACAGTTGTCCCCTGCTGGGGCCAGCTGTGGGCCTCAGGTGGGTTTGGCTCTAGTGATAGCATCTGCCAGACCCTTCTCATTGTCCTTTCAGGAATCTTAAATTCAATATGTGGAACCAGGCAGGGCGCAGTGGCTCATGCCTGTAATCCTAGCACTCTGGGAGGCTGAGGCGGGCGAATTGCTCATAGTCAGGAGTTCAAAACCAGCCTGAGCAAGAGCGAGACCCCACCTCTACTATAAATAGAAAGAAATTAATTGGCCAACTAATTATATAGAAAAAATTAGCCAGGCATGACTACGCATGCCTGTAGTCCCAGCTACTCCAGAGGCTGAGGCAGAAGGATTGCTTGAGCCCAGGAGTTTGAGGTTGCTGTGAGCCAGGCTGACGACGCCAGGGCACTCACTCTAGCCTGGGCAACAAAGTGAGACTCTGTCTCAAAACAAAACAAAACAAAACAAAACAAAACAAAACAAAACAATATGTGGAACCAGCACCAAGTGTCTTGGGACCAAGCATAGTGGTTACTCTAAGCAAAAAAGAAATGTCTAGAAATTTAAGGAGGAGGACTCGTGTGTGCTAAAGCTGGTTCCAAAAAAATTTTTTTTTGAAGAATTTAAAATTATTTTAAGCAATGAAAGCAACGTCTTTGAACTAATCGGAGAACTTTCTAGGATAATTCCTCTGAAGTTCTGTTCTGTCCTGAGTTTTCCAAGATCTATCTTAATATTGCAGAGGTGAAAACAGGGGTTGGGGACAAGGAGCTGATTCTCTCACCGGGCACAGGGAGGAGACAGAGCTGGGCTGCAGCGCCTTCCCCGAGGGTCCCTGGTTTCCCGACCTCCTTCTGTTTCTGTTTACAAGTGTGTGTCTCTGGGCGTGTCCCCTCAGGCTCTAGGCGTGTCCCAGTCAGAGCAGCTCCGCCAGGAGGGTGTTTCATGGCTGCAGGGAAATTCCAGAGCAGATCCTGCCACTGCGGTGAGACATATTTCCCTGGGAGGGAACCAGGGCTGGGCAGCCAGGCCGGCAACAGTTTCCAGTCTGGGAGGGCGCGGGGCGTGGCTGGGGGGCGACTGTCCACCTGGAGGGCGGGGCCCTAGCTCCCTGAAGCCTGCACACGGGTTTAAATTTAGCCCTTCTATTCTGGGCCTCGCTGGGCCGGCCTCCCCACGTCACGCTGGAAGCAGTGGGCCAGTTTCCCCAAGAACAATCGCTCCTGCTGGGGGTGTGTAGGAGGCAGATCTTGGTCATGCTTTTGTGGTGGTGCGGAATTGTGCTGCAGAGAGCAATGGAGGAAAGTCCAAAGCCAGAAAAACCTTCCATCCGAACATAGTCCGGAACCGGGGACCCTGCGTGCACACGCCCCACTAACTTCACCAGCAGAAATGTGTTTGTCCTACAGGCGTTTGCGGAGGGTCGGCCTCCTGAGCAATGGAGATGGGAACCGGCTGGGTCTCCAAAGGACTAAGTGACCAGGAAAGTGCTCTGGGAACGCGCAGGAGCGGCACCACAATAATATAACCGTAGTCCCCATGATTGCCACTTCCTTCTGTTCTCTGCTCCAGTGCTCCCTTCCTGACCTGCAAATCTGTCCCCACCGCTCCCTCTCCCGGGTCACCCGGCCTTACACTCTCCCTGGCGGCACCATGGCTCACAGCACTGCTCTTGTCTAGCAGCTTCCTCTCCACAAGGCAGGGGCCAGGAGGGCAGGGAGTTGCTTTGCTCACTGCTGTGTCCTCGGTGCCTAGAGAACCTGCCCGAATTTACTGAGCACTCACTATGTGCCAGACGCTGTATGAAGTGTTTCAAGTGGGTTATCTAATTTCGTCCGCATGACAACCCTATGCAGGATTTTCCCAAAGCAGGAAAAGGAAGCCCAGAGAAGTCGAGAGTCAGTTCATAGTTGACCCTGACAGTCTTGACCCTCAGCTACCTGCCTGACTTGGCCATGAGAACTCTCCCTTCCGACCCAGCCCCCACCCCCTGGTCAGGAGAGGGAAGCCCACCCCAGGGAGCTCTGACCTGCTGGAACATCTCCCCCTGGCACTGAGGTGTCCATGGCCAATGACTGCCAGACTGCCTGACCCCCAGCAAGGGAAGCCAGGAAGCAGACCTGGTTGGCTGCAGAAGGGTCCTGTAGTAGGAGGGTGGCATTTATTACCAAGAGCCCAGGTTGGCTTAGGAAAGTGAGGGTAGTCTCTGAGTAGACAGAGACGAGGGTGCTTCAACACTTGGACTTGTGATCACACAGATAAAGTCCTCAGCTAAAAGACCAATCTACAGGGCTGGGCGCGGTGGCTGATGCCTGAAATCCTAACACTCTGGAAGGCCAAGGCAGGCAGATCATTTGAGCTCAGGAGTTCAGACCAGTTCTGGGAAGAGGGAGACCTCATCTCTACTAAAAATAGAATGAAATTAATTGGCCAACTAAAAATATATAGAAAAATTAGCCGGGCATGGTGGCGTGTGCCTATAGTCCCAGCTACTCAGGAGGCTGAGGCAGGAGGATCACTTGAGCCCAGGAGTTTGAGGTTGCTGTGAGCTAGGCTGATGCCATGGCACTCACTCTAGCCTGGGCAACAGAGTGAGACTCTGTCTCAAAAATAAATAAATAAATAAATAAAATAAAATAAAAAAATAAAGGCAGGCTACTCACTGTCAAATGGGTATTAACTGATCAACACTTAAGTACACATGTACTAATAACATTCATCAGGTGTTGGGCAGGTGGGAGGGGGAGGAGGGGATGGGTATATTCACACCTGAAGGGCCTGGTGGGCACCCTCTGGGGGATGGACATGGCTGAAGCTCTGACTCAGGTGGGGCAAGGGCAATATACGTAACCTAAATTTGTAACCTTGTGATATGCTGAAATAATAATAATAATAAATTAAATAAAGGCAGGTCCTAGCACTCTGGGAGGCCAAGGCAGGCCGATCTTTCAAGGTCAGGAGTTTGAAACCAGTCTGAGCAAGACCCTGTCTCTACTATAAATAGAAAGAAATTAATTGGCTAACTAATATATATAGAAAAATATATATTAGGTACTCGGGAGGCTGAGGCAACAGGATTGCTTGAGCCCAGGAGTTTGAGGTTGCTGTGAGCTAGGCTGACACCAGGGTACTCTAGCCTGGGCAACAAAGCGAGACTCTGTCTCAAAATAAATAAATAAAGGCAGGGATGAAAGACACATTGCCATTTGGCTATAAGTGTGCTGGAAGGCTCTGGAAGGAGGGATAATCTGGTAATATTTGAAGCCCAGAGACAGGGTGAGAGAGAACCTTCTCACCCCATTTTCTTTCCAACTTTGCAATGTCCCTTGTGCTCCTGTATCTATGCAAAGAGTGGCTTGTTTTAAAATATTCCTTGAGCCTGACATTGAAACCACAATGCCCCTGCCTCAGGCTCTGAGACCCACTGTTCGGTGCTCTGCTGCCAACCTGGTCCTGGTCCTCATTGTGGGTGGGGTGTCCACCACCCAGGAACAAAGGGCACAGAAAGAACAGAAGGACAAGAAGAAGGAACCAGTAGCACCAGGGTGCCGTGTGGGCCAACCCTAGCAGATGGCAGCGTGTGGCTGCCCTGAAGAGGAAGGTGACACCGGGCACACAGCAGTGTGAACAGGGAGGTCAGGAGCGAAGGCTGGCTGGTGAGTCTGAGGTCAGGAGGTGGCCCAGGCAGCGCTGGGTCTGGTAAGGCTCATGGACCCTTGTCAGAGTGATGTTCTTCAATGCATAAAGTAAGACTCCAAGGATTAAAGAGGGAAGAAATGATATCACGACACAATCGCAGTGTGCATTAGGTAATTATTTATGAACATATTCTCTAGCCAGAACTGGTAGGGGCCTGAGGCCCACCACGGCTTTCAGGGCATCATGAACATAAAAGATTTTCACAGTGTCCCCAACGACTGGTGTGATTAGAAAACATCTGCGCTTGCATTGGTGACAGAGTCCCAGGCCCGCCCATGCTACTGTCGTGTGATGCCTGCACGCACAATGGAAGGAAATGCCAGATTGTAATTAAAGATTAGCAAAAATAGACATGTCGATTTTTCCCGTCCTGAATTCTCAGAATCCTTAACTGTAGGCTCCGAATTCCAGGCGTGAGGGTTTGAAGGGGCACCGGTGGGAGAAAGGGTGGATTTCTGCACATCTCCCCAGTCCTTCCCCGTTCTGTTCGCGTGGGAGAGCCCGAAGGAGGGGCGGGCAGGGATGGCGCCGGGGCTGGGGGAGGGCTGGGGACTGTCCAGCTGCCACCCGGACACTCTGCCCCGGCTGGACGCTCCACCCGCTGCCTCCGGGCCTGCCAGGGACAAAGGAAACGTGTGGCGCAGGTAGCCTGGACGGGAGGACCAGTCAGGGGACCCCAGGCCTCCAGCTCCCCTCCCAGATGCCCCAGTTCCTTCCCTTCAGGGGAGACCATGCCCCAGTCTCTCACAGCCAGAGAGTGCCCTTGGCCCCTCCCCGTCCCTCCAGAGGGCGGTTCCCTTCACCTGGACAGCAGGTGACAACAAGGACATGGGGTGAGGCCTGTGGCCTGCGTCCTGCTTCACCTTCGCGGGAGCTTTGGGTGTGAACCTGGACACAGGGAGCCCGACCTCTGCTCTGGCCGGACAGTCCCGGCTCACAGCCGTGGGCTTGGCATGTGTTTCCAGTCTGTTTGCTTGATTTGCTTTAACGGGAGTTTACCGACATGTTTAAACATACGTGAAAGAAGAACAAAATAGTAAAAGAAACTGCATTTACCCCCTCACCCAGATTCTACAAATCTCAGCTTCTGTCACGGTGGCTTTCTTGTCCCTTTCAGCACAATAGTTAGTGGTGCCTCTGTCCCCCTCAGAAGGCCTGATCTGAACAACTGAATGTAACACTTGACCCTAGGCAGGATCCTGCACTGGAGGAAAATAATTGCTTTTAATGACATCTTTGGGTAGGTTGATAAAATTGGAACAAAGCCTCACTGGTTAGTTGTGAGGATTAGCGAGTTACACACACAGAGTTCAGGACAGTACTGGCTGTTTTTGGAAAAGTGCCACCTCCTGTGCGTTTCTCCCTTAGAGCCTCCAGGTGGCCTGGGGCACTCCCACACTGGCTGAAATCACTTAATGAGCTTAGCCAATAGAGGGTTGATTAGTCAAGCCATTATCACTTTAGAAGAAAGTGCCAAAGGTTGTAAAGGAGAAAGGATAGGTCCAGGTGAAAAGGGTTCCAGAGGCCTGTAGGGCTGTGAGGTCTTTTCGCATGCAAAGAGAAAGGTTTGCAGGACACTGGGTGCCCTGCAGGTGGTCTGGTCACCTTGGCGGGGTGGCAGAAGCTGGGAGGTGAGAAGCTAAACAGCTGGCCTGTGCATTTTACTCTTACAAGGGTCAGCATTTCTCAAAAAAGGTTTTTTAAAGCATGTACTACCATTGGACTTTCAAAAAGTATCAAAATTTCGAAGAAAAGTCTTTGTGAAATACTTTACTTTTCTCCAATATGACTCAGCCCAGGGAATACTTGGCTAAGTGGGTTTCTAATTAACACAGGAAAGGTTTTCCTGAAAGGTTAGCTTGAGGGCTTGAAATTTCCAGCAAGGGCAACAGGAAGGGGCCATCCTCAGCAGTGTCTTTAGTTAAGAAGGTTCCTCTTGCCCTGGAGGACTTAAGGTGACCTCTGCAGCCGGCCCTGCCAACAGAAATTTATCAGAAACGGGAAGAGCCGCTGTCCCGCCCCACTCCTGAGCCCCCTGAGACAGGAGCGGGCACCACTGGATGAGATGCTTGCCCACCCAGACTGCTGGGCTCCAGCACCCCAGTGTCCCCTCCTCCGGGTCACACTTTTGAGTGCATTGGCCTCAAATATTCCAAGTGTGATGATGGGCAAGAAGGCTCCCCTTACAATGCGGATTCGGTTCAGCAGGTCTGGGGTGGGGCCTGAGACTCTGCATTTCTAACCAGCTCCCAGGTGGGAAGTTGCTGGGGCCCAGGGGCCTCACCTGCGAGGTGATGGGCAGGAGTCCATGACCTGGAGGCCCCTGCCCTCCTGACCTTGCTGCTGCAAATTGCCCGGGAGGGTCCATGTCCATCAGAAATGTGGCTGCCAGCCAGTTCCTGGTGCCACAAGTGTGGGCTGGACCACCCCATCCCTTGTTCCTGGTGGACGCTGTTGTCAGTAGAGGCAAGATGGGCAGGGTCTGCGGACAGCTTTATCATGCCAGGGGTGCAGACCCCTGGAGTGAGCTCTCATCTCAGGTGAGCCTGGCCCAGCAGTGGTCTTGGTGGGGAGGAGGGGGCAGAGGTTTCCCCTCCCTCCCCACCCCTACCTTCCATGGGTGCCTCAGCTGCCCAATCAAGTAAACATTTCTCAACCTGCCCATCAGACCAGTTTCCCCAGGTCCTTCCCAACTGGTTTCTACTACAGGGTGTGCCTCCCCCATATGGCTGTGGAAGGAAAGCCATCTGCCAAGAACTGAAACATGCGAGTCAGTGTTGCTGAAGGGACATGGGGCATCGTACTCTTCTACTGTCGTGTGTTGAAAATGTACATACATTTTAAAAGTTAAAGCTGTTTGTTGTCAAGGTAGATGAACAGAAAAATACACATGCAGGAAAAAAGTCCCTGGGTTCTGTATAACTCAAATGCCCACAAAACTACAAAATGCTAAATGTCTAAGAAAGGTGAGAATCCGCTACCTCTAATCCTCTATCGGAGGATGCAGTTGTAATTTCTAGTTTTATAAAGTAGCACCCCTCATGGAGCCCAGAATCACTTGGAACATTCTGGAATAAAGGGCTTAAGTAAGGCTTTCTGCTCTCCCTCTATCTGCCTGAAAGCAGGGCCTAAATTTCCTCTGTGGAGGCCCTGAGTTCTTCTCACACACCAGGTTGAAGGGAACAAAACCTGTCACCAGAGTGAACACTGAGATTAGTTGCTCATACTCAGAAACCTTTACTAAATAATCCTTATCTTCCAGTAGTGTCTCCCATATATTTATCTCTCCACAGTTTACAGCCCCCTAGAAACCTAAACTTTTTTTTTTTTTTTTTGAGACAGAGTCTCACTTTGTTGCCCAGGCTAGAGTGAGTGCCATGGCGTCAGCCCTAGCTCACAGCAACCTCAAACTCCTGGGCTCAAGTGACTCCTTCCTGCGCTCAGCCTCCCGAGTGCTGGGACTACAGGCGATGTGCACACATGCCCGGCTAATTTTTTCTATGTATATTAGTTGGCCAATTAATTTGTTTTTTATTTATAGTAGAGACGAGGTCTCCCTCTTGCTCAGACTGGTTTCGAACTCCTGAGCTTGAGCAATCCGCCTGCCTCAGCCTCCCAGAGTGCTGGGATTACAGGCGTGAGCCACTGTCC